AAATGACTTAACTCGCTAATTAAATTATATGATCGTTAATATTTTATATTTCAGACCATTCTCTTGGAAGAGACTTCAACACCAGCGCTAATCGTTTTACCGGAAGTTGAAACATCAACGATGACATTACTTTTAGATTATATTTATACAGGAAGGGTTCAAGTTCCGCAAGAAAAAATCAAAGATTTCCTCGATGCAGCTTCATTATTAAAGATTCACATTTACGACGAGATTATGTTAAAGTTAAAGTTTTTAAATTGCCTCGATATCAAAGATTTTTCATCGAAAATCGATAAGAAATCAATCCAAACCAAAATCGAAGAAAAACCCTTAAAAAAAGCTTTAAGAAAAGTACCGAATTTGTTACCCATATCAACCGTTAGAATGAAAAGAACCACAACGGCGTATAAAGGTCACGTTATACCAAGTCCTTGGTGTCCTAGAATCGGTGCTCCTCTAATCGGCGATCCAAGACATGATCCGGTTTTAACAAAAATCCACAAAGAATTTCAGGATTTAAATGACACCAACAACAATAATTTTCAAGTTGTTAATTATGCAAATAAAAAAAGCGGTTTTATTCGATCGGAAATAGGCCAAAGTGAAACCGGTGAAGAAATTTCAAACGAAAACGAAGAAGTTTTGAAGATAAACGAAAATATGTCGAAACATAATGAAGAAGCATCGAGTGTAAATAAGAAAATAGAAGACGATTCAATTAAAATGATTGATGAAGAAATAAATCCGAAAGAAAACGACTTTAATCGTTGTGAATCGAAAAACCAAAAATCTTTTAAACCTTTCAAGTGTGAAGAATGTGGAAAATGTTTTAGTCAATTAAGAAACTATAAATATCACAGGTAACCATAAAATTTTTAAAATATAATCAATTACTATCAAGAATTATTGCGTTACATTAAATTTTAAAAAAATTAAATACCACCTATAAATTATTATGTTTGATATAAGAAATGTTTTTTTATCAAGTTGGGTGTTTCTTCATGACACATTTTCAGAGTACAGTTAATGGCAGAAACGATAATTGACGTTCTAAAGTGTATATAATACGATATATATTTCGGTATCATAACATTTTCAATTCCATACTCAACTTTCCTAATATGTCAAGTCAAGCAAAACTTAAAATTAAAAAATTACAAATTCATTATAAACTATTTGATATTCATCTATTTTTGGGTAATAAATATTGCGTTATAGATGAGGTGTAATGTTGACACAATCTTTAGTTTAAATAAATATTTGAAATTCAAAGTGTCTACTTCAAATTGGTTCCGTTATACCAATTATACTATAAATAAGAAGTATTCATTTTGACGACGCTTTAAAGTATTATAGTCATAGTGCCAACTTTATAGAGCTCTAAATTACATGTTTTTGTAATGATAATAAGTTCTATTTTTCCGTTCTCAAAGTGTTATCAATTTCATAATTTAAGTAAAAAGGCTTTCACGGCCGATATTAATTAGAACTAACACTAGCACTATCACAAGAACTAACACTAGACCTAGAACTAAAATCTTTCGGGTTAAGCCGTGCGTTTTTTGAAAAAATGTTTGACGTTTCGGATGCCATGTTGCAACCTTCTTCAGAAACAAGTTCGAAGTGACGAATTCGTTTTAAAATTTGACAATAAATACATGAAGAGGTAATTAATAACTAATTAGTGTCTAATTGTCAACTAAGTTGTTTTGTCAAATCCGGGTGGAGAACGCTTCGTTGAGTTCACCAACATCTTCCATGTGCGGCTGAGTTCCCAGCCATCTTCTCTATTCATGTTATTCCCATGTCGATGAATCTCTATCGCCTCTCTCGTCAATCTTTGGAAGTAATGTCCGTTTCTTGCTAGCACTTTGGTTTTTTCGAACTCTATGCTGTGTCCTCCTTTGTGGCAATGCTCTGCGACTGCAGATTGTTGGATCTTCCTTAGTCGGACGTCTCTTTCGTGTTCCTTGATGCGGCACTCGATGTTACGTCTAGTTTGGCCAACGTAATATTTCCCGCAACTGCAAGATAGCCGGTAGACTTCAGCTCCCTTTAATGGGGTTAGTTTGTCTTTTGCTATCGGAAGAGCGTTTTGTATTTTGCTGATCGTACCGTATCGTACCACGATATCATTCTTCTTCTATTTTGAAATGATTGTTGACAATTTTGAATTGTTAGTTTCAACAACATGTTTACTCATCTGGAATAAGTGTTTCGAAATGTAAAAACATAACAATTAATGTTTATAATAAATAGTATTGTTGCTCTGTAAGTAGATAGCACTTTTTCTTTTGTATTGTTGCTCGTTTCAATAAATTAAGTCTGTTCTGATTAGGCTAAAAATGCGTTACTTACGTAACGCATTTAAAATGTGCGTAATAAAATCAGTGCGGTAATGAACTTCATTACGTAACTCAAATCACCTCAAATGAGTGCGGTAATGATGACTTATCCAAGCAGTCGTAGATAAACATTATTGTAGCATGCTGTGCACATGACATGTACAAACAAAACCACGTTACTATATAAAATCATTATTATTGTTTATATAGTAGAAACCACGAGAGCTGGCAGTGACTTGACGTTTAAAAATGGTATGAATCAAGATATGGACGTACGACTTAGATTATTTCACCACATAAGTATATTTAAATGTATGTTAGGTTAGTAATGGAGGTTATATGTCAAACATTGTCAAATTTAGGAGAAGATAAGCAGCGCAAAATCGTTAATACTAATTTATAATAAAATTTATGTAATTACTCGTTTATTTCATAAATACTTTAAAAGGTTATTTACAGGTCGCAAGGGATTAAGTAAGTTTTATTTAAACAGTGGTTCATAATTTATTCATTAATTATTAATTTATTTCATTTTCGGCTTGTGAAAACACTAACAGATTCATGACAACGCTCACAAGACATTTCGATTTGAGGTTATAATTATAGAGTTACATTCCTTAGAAGAACAGACGTACTTTTTCGACGTGGCTATTTGAATTGTACGGCAGACATATTAAACTAATGCTATCTCTTTCTAACACTCATTACTCTCTAACGGTTTGTGAATTTTAATTTACTACGTATGGCATTTGTAAAAGCGGAAAACGATGATTTACTGCCAGCTCTCGTGGCGTCTACTATACAAATGTCAGTGGTTTTCGAGGCATAGGGTGTTGAAAGTTAAATTTTTTTTTCGAAATTTCTTGATAATTTTGAAAGTTTTTGTACTATTAACATAAAATGTGGTAGTTTTATGTTTTCGAGCATGAGAAATACGAATTTGAAACTTGTTTTGTTATTGCTCGTAGAGGGCGCTAGATACACGCTGCTCGTTTGATACATAAATCAAATCATAAGTTTTTTGGCTCGACAGCTACGACCAATAAGAGCTACAAATCACAAAGAGCATTCAATTTTACATAAAAAAGGTACTCTTATTGAAATTGTCTAAGTCTATCGGTTTTCGAATTATTTACTTTTAAATGTTTAAATGTATTTTTTCTTCTAAAATATTTATTTTTTAACATATGTAAGCAAAGTTGGGTTATTTTTCCGCTTATGTTTCGACAATTGCTTGTTAATTGTCAACATTGATTTAATATCCGTGTGCAATAATCATTTTTACCAACAATAAAGTTATTACCAATTTGAAAATGCCACGACATAATGAGTTCTTTAATAGTGAGAAATCCAGATTTAAGTCCACTGGATTTTTGGAAATGGTCACAATATTCTATTGTTATTAATTAATTGTTATCGATTATTATCGTTACTAATTGCTATAGTTACTGTGTGTTATTGATTTTAAATGTTAACCTTAAAATTACTTTGAAACAATTAAAAGCTGATAACTTGGAAACCAGTAGACTTAGACACTGTAAGCAAGAGTACCTTTTTTGTGCAGAATTGGAAACTCCTTCAGATTTCTGGTTCTAATTCACCATACCTCAACTGACAAAATAGTCATGACTTGATATCTCAAACGTACAGTGTGTATCTAGCGCCCTCTACGAGTAATCACAAAACAAATATCAAATTCGTATTTCTCATGCTTGAAAACATCTAACTACCAAATTTTATGTTAATAGTACAAAAACCTTCAAAATTATCAAGAAATTTCGAAATAAAAATTTAACTCTCAACACCCTGTGTATTAAAAACCACCGACATTTGTATAAGACATGTTAGGTTAAATCGTCTTATTTTGGTGTCTAGTGTCTCCGGTATTCGGATTTCCCATTCTTTCTGACTCATCTGTATAACATTATCAATCAAATTATTATAATCAATCGATCAGTCCTTCCAATGTAGTCCATGTTATTATTTATTAAAATATATTATATTATTATATTGTGGACACGTATATATCCACAATTCAATCAAATTTCATATTATTTTTCAACTGCGATAAATACGAATCATATCGACCGGAATTCATCAGTTCTTTGCTATCGCACAGTTGAAATTGTTTTGAGATTTTTTAAATTATTTTTGTTTTCATGAGGAAGAGTCGTTTTGCACTGTTGCTTATGGGCTGGGATCCCGCAGAGCTATATAAATTAAAAAAAAATTCTCTTTTAGTTTTTCTTCTTGATTTTTTACTTATCTGAACTGCTCTTTTTGCAACACCAAGAATTTCAGCTCAATTAATATCTATGAACGCTAACATTTATATTTAAATATACTTATGTATATAAACAGATAATATTAATAGTATCACTTAAAAATATTTTGTCTGTTATATCGAGGTTTTACTGTAATAACTGTAGTAACAGCTTTTTCAACAATTTTAATTTCATTTCTTTCTTTCTAGGTGATTACTTGCTTTATATCCCAAAAGGAAATATAAACAAATCGATTTGTAAATTATAAATAAAATTATTCAAATTTACTCATATTATTTATTTAATATTATTGGGCAATTATTTCGAAAATAACTATATTTTGTTATTAACTAATAAGAAAATGGCCAAAGATAATCCAAAGTATTCTTTTTACACGTAATCATGACTCACCTGTATTCCATAACATTTTTTTTTTAATGATTGAATAAAAACACGTTCTTATATCACATTTGACTTTTACTCAATAGTTTTTCATTCAGTTACAATCTCAATACAAATACGAACTACAAAAATCGAAGCTACAAGATTTATTTATTTTTGTTGTTTCAATTAAAAAATAACGCTCTCGGTTGCACGTTTCTTTATTTCAATCACTCTAAAAATCGGAAACGTTATCAGTTTTAATTGTAATTATTAGTATTTTTGGAAATATGTTACACAAACTGAACTCCTACAAGTGCGCGTCAGATCAAAGTGCAAAAACTACCGAGATTTAAGGGAAAACAAAAAAAATGATCCTAAGGGAACGCGCGAGAGAAAAGACCGTTCGAATTTTCCTAATAACCCCACCATGTATTTTTTAAATTAACTAAAATTATAGAAAATAATATGAAACGTGGAATTTAACTGTTAGTAAACGAAAACGAGAAAATAATAAATTACAAAAGATGTAAACACAATTGGACAGAAATAAAGGGGTTTTTTACAAACTTTTTCAGTTTTGGATTTAATATACACAAATGTGCATAAATTATTTAATTACAAAACGTATTCAAGGTCTCACTAAAAGAGAGTAATTTTTTAGGGCAACTTAATGGGTTCTAAAACGTAAAACGAAATAAATTTACTATACATAGACGGATTATTATATTCATATTTTTTTTTAGTTTTTGATAATAATATAGATGTTTGTCCAAGATGGACCTGGTACAAAATAAGAAATTTTATGTTTGACATCCGCACCCACATCTGCAACAAAAAAACCATCTAATAATAAGCAAAAAAGAAAGAATAAAACCAAAAAGTATTAATACATTCTTAAAAATACTTTAAAATTTTGACGTAAAATATTTATTAATCATTAATAATATACAAAGATTGCCAGAAAATATACTGCAAAATTATTTAACTATTTAATATCGAGCAAACAGAAAAAAATCAAAACCTCTTTATACTTTAATTTATATAAACCATAATTATACGTAACAAAAGTAGTTACAATAATAAATATTAATTAACCATAATTATTAAATTCATCTCAGTATTAAGTCTATGCGAGCGACGTTACGATGATTTTTTTGTGTCTCTTTACCTAAACGTACGTGCGCCGACCGGAGAAGCTTTTTTCGGGAGCAAAGCTTCTTCAGCAGCAACCCGACTTGGTGCTCTCAATTGGGCGACCTTGATCAATCTTCACTTTGCTCGCCTGATCAACCGCGGATGATGGCGGGCCCACCCTGTTTTTAATTTCCGCCGCCATGGTAAGGAAAGCTTGTTCCACATTCGTTGCGCTTTTCGCCGATGTTTCCAAAAATGGTATTCCCAATTGATCTGCATATTCCTATTATGTATAACAAAAATAGTTGCATGAAAAAGCTGGGACTAAATTTGATTGGGTAATAATTACCTTGGCTGTGGTGTAATCGACGACTTTTTTCGTGGTTAAATCACTTTTGTTGCCGACAAGAAGCTTATTAACATTATCGCATGCATAACGATCAATTTCCTCCAACCATTGTTTTACATTGTTGAATGTATCTTGGTCTGTACAATCATAGACGACAATTATACCATGCGCACCTCTATAATAACTCGATGTGATAGTTCTGAATCTTTCCTGGCCAGCAGTGTCCCACTAAACCAACAAAATAAACTCAATACAGTTCTTATAAAAAAGTCTATATGATTCATATACATTTAATACAATCATGATGAAATAAAAGTGCGTTTTTACACTTTACAGTGGTAAACAATTACCATGTTAGTTTCTATTGGTAACTGTTAGAAAGGATTAAATGTTTTCTAATCATATTCTTAAAATCTTTCTCTTCTATATAATCTCTTTGCATTACGGCAAATATTGGAGTAGTGTAGTACAAAGCAGACAATCATATTTTCGTGGACTTCTGCGCATACACCACTATGAGAAACTAATTATTCGAGGCAATGTCGCAGTTCAATTCTCAGGAAAGTTTCCTGTAAAATCAGAATACAAGGAGATCTATCAAGAACATTTGAAAGCCACGAAGGTCTATGGCAGGAAGATGGACTATCATGTCTGCTTTCTAACATTGTCCTAGAAAAGGTAGTAAGAGATGTAAGACTCCGAACATCTGGAACAATATTCAACAACTTGACGCAGATAAATAGAAGATAAATATTATAAAAACCAAGTATATGGTGGCAAAAGCTGGCGGTGGAAACATACCAAAAGATTTAGAAGTTGGGGATGGCAAAAGATAGAGACGGCTAGCAGGTTCATATGGTTAAGATCCTGATAATATAAATTCCGTCAGCGAGGAAATAAAGAAGAGAATAATCCAAAAGCCAACAAACGCTACCAAGCGGTCGGAAACATGAACCTTACTGCAGGAAGACCAATAGGCACTAAGCTGATTTGAAAGAAAAGTGCTTAAAAGAATATATGACGCTGTTAAGGACAACGATATGCAGGAGTGTCCTGTATCTTCCGCATTATACCGTTGCAGGATACATTATTCTGAAGTGATTTTTCTAATAAATTTGAAATGTTTATAATAATCGCACGGGAATTGTTTAACGACCGACGTCCAATAGCAGATCGTAAATCAGATTCAGGTAATCGGCCCCACCCTCGGCCGCAACGCCGTTTTGCTGGCCAAAACCTATTTTATCAAACATTTTCAAATCAAGGGGAAGTGATAATTATCGCTACTAAAAAGAATGACAATTTTAGTACACAGGTCAAACTAAACCGTAAAAAATTAGAAGTATGCAAAAAACGCTGTTAAAGTCGAGAGAGTTACGCGCTGTCGGACAATCCGAAAATTTAGCGGAACATCAAAACTTTTTATTTTAGAAACCATTTCGGAAATACTTCTGATTTTTTGTATATACTAACTTTCATATATGTTCTATTCATTTTATACAAGAACATGTCGCTATCTTTGCTAATTTTCTTGCTAGATCTGGTTTCTTCGCCATGTTCAGTCATCATAAGATTTTTACTTTTGTAACGTCAGTTATTTTAGTTTGTATTTTAAGTATGCTAATTTTAATTTATTAATTCGAGTCACCCTTTTTGGGTTTTAATGATGCTATGTTTCTTGGTGGACCGTTGAAATGTTCCGCAATCGTGCCGCTTATCAACTAACCTGTAAGTTTCTTCCTTTTTATGTAAGCCATTGATAGTTTGAGTGTTAATTTTGATACATTTGTTCACAGTTTTTTGCCTGTAGAAAAAACAATTAGTTTCGAAATATAGCAAAGAAAAATTTAGTTCTCTTTTTTTCTTATACCGACCGCTACACCCAATAACCTTATCATAGTATTTAAAGAATGGTCCTTTACACAAGATTGAAAAACAAGTACAAAACAAAGAAAAAACAAGTACAAGACCGATTTAGAGATAAACTTATTATACCTACAATGGTAAAACGATGGTGACACTGCTAGAAGATTCTTTTCTAATCCTTTTTGCACAGCAGATATTGTAGGAGTAGATGATGATTTAATTAAAAAGTTTTCCATAATTCTCCAAACATTAGCTATAGATGCCAAAAAGTTTGGGGAATACGCATATAAAACAGCAGAACTGTATGTAGAGCTATATAAATGCTACTACATGCCTGTTTCAGTACACAAAATACTTATTCACGGTGAAAGCATCATACAATATGCTGTATTACCAATAGGACAACTTTCAGAAGATGCACAAGGAGCTAGAAATAAAAATTATAAAAAATACCGGTTAGATGACGCTCGGAAATATTCAAGGATTGCCACCAATCAAGATGTTTTCAATACGTTACTATACACCACCTCTGATCCTTATATATCATCAATTAGATGTAGAAAAAAGCAAGTTAGACTTAGATTCAGAAGAAATTGATTTGCTAAAATAAATATTTATTAACTTTCCATTATAAGTGTAAGCATTATTACGGGTAGTTTAACAATTAAGCAAGCATTATTTTTTCTTAACAATAAATTTATATTTAAATATCATCTGTGTCTTATTTTAGAAGAAAAATTGTGACTAACTTATGATTTGTCTGCAAAGTATACATAAAATTCTAGGATAATGATTATACCGTTTATATTATTTATTGAAACTTCACAGGGTTGCTATTGGGCGAATGGGACAACATCTTAACTAACACTTTTAAACATACTATAAGGGTACTAAATGTCGTTAGAATCGATAAGGTAATTTTTAAATAAAAGCAAAAAAGAGGTAGTTTACCCCATGCAACCCTCTGGCACATGTGTGATACATCAATGGAAAGCTCTTTAAAAATGAATATCAGTTTATATATATGACTTTCGACAAAAAAAAATGTATTTAAAAGTTATTGAGTTTTGGCCAGCAAAATAGTGTTTCGCCCCACTGTGGCCCGGTCCGCCGCGTCGCTCATAACACATTTCTCACCAATAGATAGATTCGACAGGGAAAGAGAAATAAACTTTTTTTTATGAATTCCTGAATGTGCTATTGGACATTTTTAAACAGTTCCTGTGCGGTTATTATAATGCTCTGATGCGAAAGATACGGGACATGCTGTATAGCGTCGGCGTTTTCTATATTGCGAACCAGAGAGAAGTAAATTTAAGTGCAAAGGTTGAGATGGATTGACCATGCAACCAGAATGGATATAAAAAGTATCACAAGTATTATCTTTGATAGCCGTGGAGCTGTAAGTAGCAGATCACCTGGGAGGTTGAAGAGACGCTTTGTCGAAGAAGGGTTGAGATAGACGAGTTTGCAAGGATCTGTTAAGGCAGGCCAAGGTTCACAACGATCTATAGAGCCTGGTATGATGACGATAATTAAATGTTAAAATTATTTTCGCGACGGAAATAGCTTAACGTTCAAATTGATATCGCTGATTTGTAGCAACACACTTGAAAAGGCATATTAATATAATGCAATATGATCCTGCTATTAGAGTAAACCTTGAAAACATAAAAAAAGAATTTTGGCAACTATAGACGATAAAATATCTAGGACCTCTCTCAAGAACCTCCACTACCTATTTTGCCCTGTTACAGAAAATTCGTGACGAAGCTAAAACGTCAGATAACACAACTAATTATTTATTGAACAGCTGACGATGGAAAGTTCATTTTATGTAGAAACGGAAGGCGAGTTCAAACATTGCGCTGCCGCCGCGCAGTTATTGAACGAAATTAATCGATAAATATAATTAAAAAGTTTTTCTTTATTTCGTTTTTCCGCTATTATGTAATTAAGCGCTAATACTACCATGTAATTTATTTTTAGACACTTTATTAAAAGTGTCTATGTGGAGGACAATTTTTTAAATGGTCCAAATGTCGATTTTATGAGTCACAATGCCGATTGTGCCGAATAGTGGACGAGTTACACATTATTATATGTATATTAATTAATTAAAAATGTAGATTTTGAAGTGATGGGTTTACCATTGTATTATAATGTTTATAGCTCAGATAGATAGAGATTATAATCTGTTAGGGTTCAAATATTCATAAAAAATGAATAAAATACACATATAATTATGTACATATAAAATTGTTTAACATGTTATTTTAAATTTTGTTAAACATATGTTGTTTATTATTATTGTTGTTTAACTAATAATACATTTTAAAGCATTTTTTTCTTAAATTGCATAATAATACCAAAACTAGGGTGATCTACACTCGATTTTCTAACATTTTTATATGACTGAAAAATAAATTTTTGGAAAAATGTTTTTAAAAAGGGCACTAAATTCAAAATAATTGTTGAAGTTTTTCTATTTTAAGTAAAATTTTACTAAATACCACTTTATATGAAACAAATGGGTATAGGTTCAGGTAAAGTACTACTTCCTGTTATGTGAGAAAAATTTCTACCACAATTTTGTATCTGAAAGTTATTCATTCTTATTCAGATTCATCTTCGAAATCTGTTAAGGTAAACTGCTATTTCCGGTCGACAGATTTGCCCCAAAATTTGATAGAGATCAACAGTCTTCATTTAATAGCCGCATACCAAATTTCATCGAAGTAAACAATTGCGTCTATTTTCCATTTAAAATTTTCGACTTTACAATTTATTTACATTACTCTGATACAACAAATGACAATCTATTTGATATCATTTGAAGAGTAATCGTGCCAATATAAAAAGCTATTTTGAATGAACATTGGCTGAGAAATGGGATTTTATAATAGAGCATGGTAAAATTTGCCAAAAAAAACTTAAAATCAAAATAACTCGAAAACGAAAAACGCTGTGTAATAACTTTTATCAAAGTCAACATATTATTTCGCATGTAATTAAAAAGTGGATTAAAAACTATAGCATTTCATTTAAAGTAACGAACTTGTCTTCCGGTAGACCGGAAGTGGCGGCCATCTCGAAAGTATTTTAGATCGAAAGTTTCGGATGATTAACCCCTACAACTAAATTTCAAAACTGTACGAATAGTGTAGTACGAAAAGTTCTAAGGATTCAAATTAAAACGGATCTTATACCGACAAAATATAATTTCGACCAGCCATATAAGGTTATGTTTAGAAGCAGGGAAGAATAGTCAAAGGGTAAGCCTCAACTCAAAATAGGTATGGGCATCAGCGGACCAAAAAACATTAAAAACCGCATTAAGATGCTCTTAAGCTCGGATACAACCATTTTTCAGGCTTAAGTTCTTGCCAGAAACTTCTGCACCGTTTTGAATCTTGGGAAGAGACAGAAAGGGGAATCGATAAATATATCTTTATGAACAATCGGGTTGCCGTAAAGGCTATTCAGGCTTACAGGTCTAAATCCGCACTGGTGAGGAAATGTATCAATAACCTGTGGAAAGTTGGCAGGGGTAATGAAGTTACTCTATAGTAGGTTCCAGATCACAAAAATATTGTGAGTAATGTGAAAAAGCAGACAAGCTGGCAAAGGGGCAGTGAGGCTGCCCTTTATTGGACCCCAACCCGTTTGTGGACAACAAAGAATCCACTTCAAACAAGTGATTAACACATAGGAGGACTAAAGGTAGCATTGTACTGAAAAGAACTTCCAAGATACAGACAAGCGAAGGATATACCTCAACAAAGGGGACTTAAGGCCCCTCTCAAGTTTCCTCAATTGCCACACGTCCCTAAATTACCATCTCTCAACTTTGGACGAGCTGAGGATCAAACTTGTCGACTTTTTAGAGACTGCTGAAAATATTTTGTGTGACTTAGTCGCCACAAGTCGTTTAAGACACAAAATTTTCAGAAAGGTTTGCCTGATATCTACTGACATAAAGGAACAATACCTTCGAGCAAAACAAAAGTTCATCAAGGACCTACATCTGCTCTAAACCTTTGGAAGGTATAAGTTACAATAGATTTTATACTGCCCTGTTAAGAATAAGAGTCATATCTGCATCTTTTGCAAATTTTGTGTTTTTCGGGTATATCATATCATGTCAAGGTTTTGCATGTATTTGTAATGTCAAAACGTCGTAGAGCTTTCACAACTACCCAGAAAAACATGTTATTCATTTGTCGTATATGAAATTATTATTGTTTTGTTAAGCAAAAGTGTCCAAACTGCCTATTTTTAAGTTTATATGTCGCATCTGCAGTTCAAATACGATAAACTTAACATATCGCACATACGATGTTTTCACTTAACAATGAAGTAGATACGATAAATCGCTATAACAACAGCTTAGGCGCGCAATATGATAGTTAACCCAGCATTTAATGAAAAATCCATGTGCAAAAAATACTGTAATAAAAAAATTTCAAACGAACAACGTGCAAATGTACATTTAAAATTTTGGTAATTAACGGATTTTGACCAAAAAACTTGTGTTAAATATGACACAAAAGAAAAATATTAAAAGAAAGGTTTTTTGAAAATTGATAGATAAGATGATAGTGGTATAAAATATTTTCTTTGGCAACTCTTCTACTGCGTCGTAGACACAGGCAGAAAATCCCGAAAAGGTCGCTTTAGTTCATCGAAAATGATAGATCGTTCTATAATCAGACAGCATATAGTGTCGTTCAATTCTACAATTTCTCATTACAGGAGAGAGCACCATGGTACAATAACTTCAAGGCAAAACATCCAACTATTAATTTTTCCTATTATTTATTTGTGTAGAGAAGTAGTCAGTAAAATGAATATTTCATTCGATGCACTTGGACGCGAAGACTGCTTTGCTTGCGCAACATTCAAAAATCATGAAAGAAGCACTAATAAATGATTCCAAAAATTTAGAAAATGGCGTTGAGCGTGTTTCTTGGAATAAGCATATCGAAATGTTCAAGGAGATGATTTTCGTACCTCGTATCATAGTATTCAATGAAAGTATTGTTTCAATAGGACGAAAACACAAAAAAAAATACCACAGCAGGAGTTTGGCATGAAGCGTTGACGGGACGATCTAAAGAAGATATTATTAGTACTTTCTATGCCTTTTTTCTCGATAATAGAGATGTGGAAAATATTATTTTGTGGTTGGACAACTGTGCAGCCCAAAATAAAAACTGGACCTTCTTTGGTTTCTGTGTGTATCTGGTAAATTCCTCTGAAGCCGCTTTAAAATCTTTAACTCTGAAATATTTTGAACCGGGACATATATTTATGTCAGCGGATTCGTTTCACCACCAGGTAGAAAAGTCTCTGAAGCAAATGAAAAAAGTTCATGATTTCAAGAATTTCAAAGATGCCATACAAAAAGCTACCTTATCCAAAGTGAACAAGAGTGACAAGAGTTCTCAGTATAAATTAAGCAGAATAAAACCTCGGCCCTATTTAAGCAAAATAGTTAAGTTTATTTTGAATAAGGGAAGCAGTCACTATTCTACAAATGCAAGTTTAATCAATAAGAAGGCCACAATATTGAATGGTTTGGAAAGGCCTAAATGCAAGACTAATTTTCGCGGCATAAGTCAAAATAGAAAGGACACACTTATAAACCATCTTCGTGGAATTATTCCCATTACCAGAATGAACATTTGGAATAATTTGCTTGTTTCCAAAAATCCAATAAAGGATGATGACTAATACACTCAGCGGCATAAAAAACGCATCACCTAAAATGATGACAGGCTTCAAAGTGCAATAACTTTTGAACGTATTGCTCGATTTGAATAAGGTTTTATTTATTTGAACTTTGCCAATATTTCTGTAGGTGCCTTCCCCATTTTGATACTCTCCAATTTCAACAATGCTGAATAACGCTAATACGTTTATTCTTCCTATACTTTGAAGCTTGCTATGGGGTGCACCAACAAAAGATATTAACTTTAAACATAAGGAGCTTGTAGTCTTGTTTGTTCTGATCATTTCTGTTTTTTGTTCAAGTTTCTATTGTTGTTAACACCAAAGTTACAAGCACTAAAGTATAACGCAACTTCTTCAGCAGCGCCATCAGAAATTAAAGCAATCCATGGAAATTGACGAAAACATTTCATTGACGTTTAGTGCCGTTAACGTCGTCTAGACAAGAAAAATACCTTTAAGTCTTGCAGAAGTTGCTCAGGCAGTGGCTTTGGTGGAAGATGAACGCAGCGTTTTTGTTCTTGAAGCGATACAGAGTACGGTTTGTCGCGCCATTTAAAGATTTCGACAGACTGGGACCTGAGACCAGCAACTGGTCCACAGTTGCTTCGAGAACATCGTGTTGCTCGATTACAATCTGCACGAGATCATGTTCAGTGGATCAATAAGGAGTGGCGAAACGTACTGTTCTCAGACGAGTTGAGGTTCGGCTTGTAATCTCCAAATGGTCGAGAGAGAGTTTGGAAAAGAGCAGGAGAGCGTTATGCTCAGTGCAACTTTTCTGAAAAAATACAATACCAGGGAGGATATGTAATGGTTTGGGGAGGAATCTGCTTCGAAGCACGTACGAAGCTTTGTTTTATTAAACGCGGCCCATTATATTGAAGAAATTTTGGCTTAACACGTGGTTTCCTTCGCCCATTTGTTGGTGACAACTTCTTGTTCATGCACGATAATGCACGCTCAAATATAGCTCGCATTGTATCCCAATACCTGGATGATTTGCATATCAGCAGAATGGAATGGCCTGCACATAGCTCTGATTTAAATCCCATAGAACACATGTGGGATATGCCAAGGAAACGAGAATGGCGCTAGAAGAAGAGTGGAACCAGATTCTTAAAATGAAAAACCTGATTTGAAGTATGTCTTGAAGTGAGGGGAGGAAATACCCGTTATAAATGTTTTGTTTGATTTACTTGTCACAGTTTAATACAAGCTTGCATTGCTTTAGTTTCAAGCTGCGTTATCTTTTAAAGCTTGTAACTTTGGTGTTAACAAAAATATAAACTTGAATAAAAAACAGAAGTGATCAGAACAGACGAGACTTCAAACTCCTTATGTGTAAAATTAATTTCTTTTGTAGGTGCATTCCACAGCAAGATTCAAAGTGTAGGAAGAAAACACGCATTAGCATTAGTCACCATTGCTGAAATTGAAGATATACCAAAATGAGGAAGGCACATACAGAAATATTGGCACAGGCTAGATCTTTCAAATAAAAAAAACCTTATTCAAATTGAGCAATAGGTTCAAAAGTTATTTCAGTTTGAAACTGGTCATCATGTTAGGTGATGCGTTTTTTATGCTGCTGAGTGTATATTACTAAAAGTTTTGGTTAACACACTATTGCTGCGAATTTGTAAGCTACATTTTTTTGCTTTTAGTTACAATGACAAAATATTGTTAAGTCACACTGTATTTTATTAGTTATTATTATTATGTGTATTATTTTCACATGTGTGGAAAACCTGAAGTTACAATAAACATTTTTTTAGAGGTAGTATTTCTAGTTTTCCTAAACAGAAAATGTTCACTTATGATTAATAAGTGAATCATCATTAATATTTTAGTTGCTCACTGTTAAGTAAATTTGTTGTAACTAACAAAAACATATTTTAAACTTCTAATTTGAAACAAAAAAAGTTTGTATTCTGATTCTATGTCAAAAAATAAACAGATTTTGCTAATTTCGACTTCCTGAGTAAGAATGCAGATATGACTCTTATGCTTAATAGGGCAGTATAGGTCTCAGTGATGAGAGGGGCCACTCCCCTCAGCCGGGCAGTAACAAAAAAAAATTATAATAAGATTGCAATGAAACCACAACTATATTCTGATGTTTCTGGTTTAATTTTTTTGCTAGTATACTTACGATTTGTAGTTTAATGGTTTTTCCATCTAAATCTATTGTTCTGATTTTCTAAAAATAAGAAATTTTTGATTAGATATACTCAAATCTAATAACTTTACAATAGTAAGCTGACTTACAAAATCTACTCCAATTGTACTAATGTAACTTTCTGTATAAGTATCATCCTAAAATCAAAAAGAGTAAATAAACGTAAAAAAACCTTTTTGTTGATAAACTTACTGCAAACCTAAGCAGTAAACATGACTTTCCTACTCCTGAATCCCCAATCAGCAACAGTTTAAATAAATAATCACTGAAAAATAAAAAATAAATAAATTAAAATTGCAATTCTGAATTTGGTATTATATGAATGAATTATAAGACATTTTTTTTTTGTAAATGCTTCCTTGAAGATGTGATTTAAATGTTAATGTCAGATTAATAATGTGTTCATGAAATTACAAATTCACTTGTAATATGAAATGGTTCTGTTGAAACTTTATTTTGTAAACATCTCGCACATGAGTCAACTTAAGTTGCGCCTTATCAAGGTTCATTACTCATAAATTAACGACATAAAAACCGTTTGCACAAAAATAAAATATAAATTTCCAATTCATGTTCTTAGATTTGTTCAAAGATTATTTAGATTTATCTTAGTTAGGACTGGTGTGAAGTTATCCATAAATCCCAGCAATAAACTTAAAACATTAATAATTCCGTAACCAATACGATTTGGGTAACCAAATTTCACACACAGGTCACTCTTACCCTCAAGAACAGCTAACCACCCCCATTTGGTAAAAAAAAAATTTTTCAACCCTCACCCCCGAAAAAGGGATGTTTTCGCCCTGATGGGCACCTTCGAATTAAACGAAATTCTACCACATAATAGAACACACTTCTAAGTATTTTTATCAATTTTCAAAACACCGTAAGCCCTAACGGTTTTCGAGNGGCTTACGGTGTTTTGAAAATTGATAAAAATACTTAGAAGTGTGTTCTATTATGTGGTAGAATTTCGTTTAATTCGAAGGTGCCCATCAGGGCGAAAACATCCCTTTTTCGGGGGTGAGGGTTGAAAAATTTTTTTTTTACCAAATGGGGGTGGTTAGCTGTTCTTGAGGGTAAGAGTGACCTGTGTGTGAAATTTGGTTACCCAAATCGTATTGGTTACGGAATTATTAATGTTTTAAGTTTATTGCTGGGATTTATGGATAACTTCACACCAGTTTAGTTAGGTCATGACAATCGTTTTTGCATTATATTAAAAACAAGAAAAAAGTACAAAAGGCACCATTTTTATTAATAAATATACTCCCATGTTTGACAATGAATATGCAATCCAATTTACGGTTATTAACAAATCCTTGTTCCATTAGAAAAACACAAAACAACCTCTCTTTGTTACTCTGAAATTCTATAAATAACAAGACGTTTTTTCATTTTATATTTTAATATTTTCAATGCCAAGTCATCCTTCCCGTCTAATTAACTATATTACGAGGAATGAATACCCAAAGGAGACGATAAACAGGTAAATCTAAAATGCATGTTGAGTCATGACGTTGACACCCAACATTGTAAAAATTTTGTGGGTGGAAAATCATCCGTCAACGTGTTTTACAACAAATATTCAAAACGGATTTCATTTATAAGTTAATAACTTATCGAAATAACGACTTAAAACGAAAGATATGTAATTTAGTTGGTAAAACACCATTTTGTAAAAAGAACAGTTAGGTGTTCGCAGGAACAAGTTGAGTTGTAAATAAATCAATACTTACTACTCGGGATTCATTTCTATTTCGGTTGAGACGGTCGCCTTAAAGTCCACAAGAAAATAGGAAGTTTCACGATACCACTAATGCGGTCAAACTACCCTAAAGTCACCTTCACGTTATTGTAAATTAAACAAATAGACAAATTTTGGAACAATGGCTACCGCCGTTCGTATCGCAACAACTTTATTGAACTTTATACACTGACGTAATGCCAAAGTGGCAAACGCGCACATTAACGTCTCTTATTCTTACTTCATCTAATGGCGCGAAATTTAAATATTCTTTGAAAAAGTATAGATTATACATTAATCTTTGCTCGTAAAAAATTAAAATCAACATTAACAGTATTAAATAAACACTAATGATGTTGCAAAAAACTAAAACTAGTTAAGTTTGCTTTAATTTGTTTATTTCGTTATTAAAAATTTTAAGTGTCATTTATCCTAATTTTGTAACTCACTAAAATATTTTATCCCAAATAATCATTTTTATAAATATAAAATAAGTAAAAATTAATGTATGTGCTGATTTAATTGGAAATGTCGAGAATTTTCAATATAAGTTAATATTTTTTATAACTCCTCTTTTTATTTAAAACTGACACTCGTCTGACACGGCGCTATATTTAAAAAAAGATAAAAGTACAAATACGTTGAGAAAATAAACCTTTTTAATTATTATAACTTTATAACAAAATAGAAGTGTTATTACTTTGGTTTTAATTGAATTTGCTTTCAATTAGATTAATCTAACAATCTATCGTTTATTTATTTAGGGTTGGCACCACGTTAATTTGTCAAAATATTTAAAATTAACACTTAACCATTTGCATAAGCGTTCATTAGATATAATTTTTTTATTTGAAAGTATAAATATTTAACTGAATATCAGGGATTGTGATAAACTAGGTAAGCTTCTTTCTTTTCTACGATGTTTTGTTGCGATAACCCTTCTACTTACTATAGTGTTGTGAGCAGGGCCGGATCACACCTTTTGTGGGCCCGAGCCGCTCTATATTTTTGGGCCCCAAAAAGTCTAATATTACCATTTAAGTATTATGTATAATAGTAATAATAATGTTTATTGCCTCAAAAACAAGTATTTACATAAATATATACATTCATAATAAAGACATCAATTCAAACGGATCAATTTATCGCAATAAGCGATATCTTCGAAGAGACCCCACTGGTAACAGTGTATATGTAATTTTAAATAAATAATTATGGCTACCAAAAAAGTAATACTAAATGATGTGCTAATAGGACTGAGCGAATGAGCATATTTGAGTTATGTAACGGATCGACAGTCAGTTACTACAAGGAAGGAAATAGACACAAAAAAGTGCAGTAAAAGATAGATGAAAGGCAGACTAGAGAAGAAAACAAACACGTATAAGTCAAGAAGATAGTTGAAGAGATAGCAGATGGCGCCTCAAGGCATTTTTAAAACTTATTAAACTAGCTGCATTGCGAACAACAGCAAGCAAATCGTTCCACAATGCTATCAACTTATGAAACTAAATCTTTGAATATCTCGAAAATTGTCCATTTTCGGACCTATGTTTATTACGCTTTTTTGGTTTATTTTCGATCACAGAGTACGCTGATGCAGTATTGTACAATCGTTGCGGGACACTCTATATGTTATAAATTTATATTCTTTATCCAAATCTAATTTTTGTCATTAATTTTTTGTTTTCATTGTTTCATTTATTTGATCTTGTGTTTGTTATTTTTGGTAAATAAAAGCTACATAGTAAACTAAAAGATTATCAATCCTAGTTAATACTGTTAATAATACAAATAATAATAGAAATAAATTAAACCAACTGGCAAAATGACATGGCCTTCCAATAAAAATACAAACGGGTTCCAGCATTTTCTGCATGTTTTGATAAATTTTCCAATATGACAGGAACTATAATAAATAGGTATAGGAGTGTTTGTAGATAGTTTGTAGAGAATTAAATTCCCTTAAATTCCCCGGTTTATAAAATACAGGGTGATTCATTAGCTCTATGACAAACTTTGGCAGATGAAAGGTGATGCGATTCTGAGGAAAAAATGTTATATGAATATGGGTCCGATTCATTTTGGTTAAAGAGTTACAAGCCTTTAAAAATTTTACAGAGTTTAATAGGCAAATGAAAATGTAACATAAAAAATAAGTTTAAAAATTACAAAAATTGTTTGAAATGTCCTCCTTCAGCTTGAATGCACGCTTCACATCGACGAAGTAAAGATTTGCAACAATCGCAACAATAATTATGAAACACAAATACAGAGTTGGCTGTGATAACAAAACTGAGTTCTTTATGTCAAACATTTCAATTTACTCTATTCTCTGTGTTTCAAAGTTTATAATTGTCAGAGTTTTGATCGAAAACGAAAATGCATGTATTTACGACTGAAGAATATGCAGATATTATATTTGTACACGGGCTTTGTAACGGAAACGCTCGGCAAGCAGCAAGAGAATACCTTCGTAGGTTTCCAAATAGACATCAACCTGCCCATACAGTGTTTAGTGCATCATTTCGCAGACTGAGAGAAATAGTTAACCCCACTCCACTACATTCCGTTCGTCCCCATGATGTGAATGTACAAAATGAAGAACATGTTATTGATTTAATACTTGACGACCCTTCAATTAGTACTCGGCGTATAGCGAGCATGTTACAAATATCCCAAAGTTTTGTATGACATGTATTGAATCGAGAAATGTTACATCGCCAAAATGTTCAAGCATTACATCCTGGAGATACTGAGCAACGCTTAGCATTTTGCCACTGGATTATTCAGCAACATGCTCAAAATAATAACTTCATTTCCCAAGTTCTGTGGTCTGATGAACATGTGTGGTCCTTGCAAAATCCACATGCAATTAGACCAGGAAGATTTCAGCAACGGTTTAGTGTAAACGTTTGGGGTGACATTTTTAACAATTCATTGCTACCTGTATGGGTAATAAATGAACGCTTAAATGCAAATATGTACAGAAATTTCTTGGGACATAACCTTTTCGATTTTATCGACGACGTACCACTTAACATCGTTCAAAATATGTGGTATCAGCACGATGGTGCACCACCACATCGAGGAAGAGAAGTCATCGCTTGGTTACATGAACATTTTCCAAACAAATGGATTGGCAATGGAAGTCCAGTAGTCTGGCCACCACGATCCCCAGATCTAAATCAGCTGGATTATTATTTCTGGGGACACATGAAGCAGCTTGTTTAACATGTAGAAATTACTACCCGTCAGCAACTATTGGACAGAATTCAAGATGCAGCTAATAGCATACGGAATGATTCAAATAACGTCGTGTGATAGCTGAAGGCGGACATTTCGAACAATTTTTGTAATTTTTAAACTTATTTTTTATGTTACATTTTCATTTGCCTATTAAACTGTGTAAAATTTTCAAAGGCTTGTAACTCTTTAACCAAAATGAATCGGACCCATATTCATATAACATTTTTTCCTTAGAATCGCATCACCTTTCATCTGCCAAAGTTTGTCATAGAGCTAATGAATCACCCTGTATAGGTATTCCATTTAAAATTTTCGACATTCTCCCAATTGAATATGGAGAAAAGATAATTCAGTTTTTGACCAGCTGTATAAGATACTCTGATGCAACAAATCACAATCTATTTGACAACATCTGAACAGTAATCGCGACAATTTAGAGTTTTTTGAATGAACTTTGGCTGGGATATAATAATAATAATATTAAATTTATTGCTCACTCAAAATACAAAACCTATTAAAAAAAACTACAATATCGAACTGGTAATAGCAAATACAGCTGTAACAATATGAGGTTTTAGAGAGTATGGTGAAATTTACAAAAAAAAAAACTTAAAATCAAAATAACTCGAAAACAAAAAACTCGCGAGTAGAATACTATACTTTGTCCACGACTATTGAAATTGATTCCATAAATTTATTTTTTAAATAAATTTTTGAATAAAGGTTAAACGTCAATGTGACACAAATTCAATGTTACAACTGTAACCAACTTCACAACAATTTGTCAAAATTAAATGTCAGTTTTATAAAACGTCGTTTTCTTTAGGAAAATTAATTAATTTATGCTTAAATCATATGAAAAAAGGAATTTGTTTAGGTTTTTTTAATGTCAAACATTTAGAAACTCCTAAAAAATTGAATTAAATTGACGCTTTTTGAACTTTTAACGTTTCAAATAATTATTATTAGTCTGGTCAAGATGGCTACCCATGAATAATGATTATTATTCACCGCTATTATTCACTCCGTGAAAAATGACTACCATTTTGTTTTAGAAAACTCATTCATAAGATAAGGTATATATTATAAGGTAGTCGTGGACAAATAAACAAATCAGTGTGTAATTAACTGTCAATTTTGCAAATTATTGTTCACAATTTCGTTCTGAACTTGGGAACAATGCCAAGAGTGCGTCAACATCAACAATTTTCCCAATTGACTGATTTTGAACGTGGCCGTATTATTGGCATGAGAGAGGCTGAACTTTCGCTAAGAGAAATTGTTCGTCGTGTAAACCGAAATGTTACAACGGTATTGAGATGTTGGTCCAAATTGTCCGGGAAGAGGTGTAACAACGTCGCCGTGAATTTGGACGTCCTCGCAGGAGTAGAGATCGCGAAAAACGACGCTTAAGACTTTTGGCCACAAAAGACAGATTTTCTACAACTCGATCGATTGCAAATGATTGGATGAGAGGTGCAGGACCCAGAATGTCAATGTCATCTGTTTATCACCGGATAAGATCTTATAGGCTGCGTTCATATCGTCCATTTTTATGTCTTCCTCTCACACCAGTTTACGTTTACGCAGGTTAGAATGGAACAACGACGGAGCGAATTGGACGTAAGAATGGCATCGTGTTTAGTGGCGAGCCCCGATTTTGCACGATGGTCGTAGGAGAGTCAGACGGATGCGTAGAGAATGTAAAAATCCAACATTTTTTGATGATATGATACCTAATATGTTACGGTAGCAGGTTACCCTTGGTCTTCATTGATGGCAATTTAAACGCCGCTCATTATATTGCCAATGTATCTTCAGGGGCTGGAAAATCTCATTTCCAACAAGATAATGCGCGCCCTCAAACGGCAAGGGCTACAACACGTTTTTTGAAAGAAGCTAACATTGCCGTCCTCCCATGGCCTGCTCGGTCGCCT